CTCTTCTATTGAGAACCCAGCAGTATCTCCCATTCTCACTCGGTAATTCAAGTCAAAATACAGCAGCCTGCCAGCCTTACAGGGTCCAGTCATGCGTGGTCTACTTTCCTGATGCCTTGTCCGGTCACTCTCTCTTTTGTTCATTCCATTCCCACCATACTGGCCTCCTTATTGTCTAACACCCCAGGCCTGCTTCTGCCCCAGGGCCCTTGGAGGTAACGGCACCATTCACTTCCTTCAGATCTTCACTCAAAGGCCATCTTCTTGGTGAGTCTTTGGGGACCACCCTACTAAAAACATCAGCACCCTCCAGGCACTCCCTGTATCTTGGCCCTGCCTTGATTTGCTTCAGAGCAGTCACTGCCTTTTAGTATTTGGTATAAGTATTTATTTCTTTTGCCTGTTCCTTCCCCACAACTAGAATTTCAGCTCTGTGGGAACAGGGGCTTTTTGTCTGTTTGGTTCACTGCTGTATCCTCAGGGCCTGGCATATACTAGGTACTCAGTAAACATTTGCATGAATGAAAAGTCTTCAGAGGGGATAATGGGAGGTAACAGAAGTAGAGAAATATTGCTAAGGAGTGCAGGGGGTGAACGGTGCTTTTAATGCTAGGAAAATTGTCGTTTAGGGCCTTGTGTGTCATTCTAAGGATCTTGGATTTCATCCTATAGGTGGTAGAAAGTCTGTGAAGGAGTCAGTGGTCCGCGCTGAAATGTTGGAGATGCATTCCGAATGCACTGGGAAGGACAGGAGTGGGTCATGGAGACCAGTAAGAGACTGTTGCAGTGACCCACGCTTGAGGTGGTGGTAGCCTGAACCAAGAGAGAAGCAGTCGAGAACACAGAAAGGGATGGATCGGAGAAGTGCAGTGTTTAGAAGATCAAATTGGTTGTTGTACTTGATGACTGATTGGCTAGGGCAGTAAGAGTGAGCGAATGAAGGAATCCCGGGTTCCTGGCTTGGGGCAGCAGGTTGAATGATGGTGCCATTTACCGAGCTCAATCAGAAGAGGGGCGCCTGGGTGGCTCGGTCCATTAAGTGTCTGACTCTTGATCTCGGATCAGGGATTGATCTCCCAGACGTGAGTTCAAGTTCCACGTTGGGCTCCAGGCTGGGTGTGGAGCTAGAAATGCAGAAGAAAGAATAAATTTGATGTGGTCAAGGTGAAAGGCAACACTCAGTTCTAGGTGTGTCAAGTTTTGAGAACCTGTGTGCTCTCTGGGTGGAGATATCTGGTAGGCCCCTGGATGCTTGATTCTGGGGCTCAGGCTGGGAGGTCAGGGCCAAAGAGAAAGATTTAGAAGTCATCTACCTGTAGATGGTGTTTAAAGCCATGCGATGGTAGAACTTCCTAGAGAAGTTGTATAAATTGAGGAGGGCAAAAAGTCGCTGGTTATCAGTGCCAAACAGTGCCCCAAAAATCCAATAAGAAAACTATCCTCCCCCCCAAAAAACCCCATCTACTGGATTTGCCAGGTAGGAGGCCCTGAGCAAATATATTTAACTTATTCAAATATTTCTTGAATATCCACTACCTGTTGAGGATACTGAAGATACAGTAGTGAACCAAACCGGCAAAAAAAATCCCCTCTCCCACAGAGCTACAGTTCTAGTTGGGAGGAGTAGACAATTAAGAAAGGAAGTAAGTGAATGTATACCAAGTCATAAAAGGCCGTGAGTGCTCTGAAAATAAAAGAAATTTTTAAAAATTTTAAAAAAGAAAATCGGGGATCCAAGGTAGGCCTGGCCAGAGTCAGCAAGCAAAATAACGGACACAGATCCAGACTGCAGTGAGGAGAGCGGTGATGGGGAGAGAGGAAGTGGAGTCAGCCAGAGTCCAGTAAGTTTCCAGCCTCTTTGAGTAAGTGCAAGCGAAAAGGGAAGCGGGTGTCCACACAGTGGTACATCCACACGATGGAATAGTACTCAGCAATAAACAGGAAGAAACTATTGACGAACACAACAACATGATGAATCTTGGAAGCATCACGCCAAGTGAAAGAAGCCAGTCTTGGGGGCGCCTGGGTGGCTCAGCTGTTAGGCCTCTGCCTTCGGCTCAGGTCATGGTCCCAGGGTCCTGGGATCGAGCCCCACACTGGGCTCCCTGCTCAATGGGGAACGTGCTTCTCCCTCTCCCTCAGCCCCTGCTTGTGTTCCCACTCTCACTATCTCTCTCTCTCTCTGTCAAATAAATAAATAAGTCTTAGAAAGAAAAAAAGAAAGAAGCTAGTCTCAGGTGCCCGGCTGGCTCAGTTGGGAGAGTGTGCAACTCTTGATCTCAGGGCCATGAGTTCAAGCCCCCCATGGGGTGTAGAGATTACTTAAATAAATAAAACTTGTAAAAAATATTTTCAGAAGCCAGTCTCAAAAGGTTTTGTGCTGTTGGCTTCCATCTGTATGACATTCTCAAAAGGCAAAACTGTAGAGACAGAGAGAAGACCAGTGGCTGCCCAGGCCTGGGAATGGAGGACACCTGGACTGCAAAGGGGCAGCTCATGAGAATGGTGGTGGCAGAAGGAGCAGATCTGTGTCCTGATTGTGCTGGTGGTCAGACAAATGAATACATCTGTCGAAACTCCTAGTCCTTGACCCCGAAACCTGGTAATTTTACTGTATATTAATGTGGGAATAAGAGGCTGGACTATATCTGAAGGGCAAAGTCAAGATCAGCACAATAAGTTGTTTTAAAGATGCAAGAGGGACTTGAGTTTATTCATTTGCTAAGGAGAAAGTCAGGTCTCTTGGGAAGGGTGCCCAGGAGGAGTTCAAAGGTATGAGATCCAGGGCACTGGTTGGAAGAAAAGATGTTTATGTGAAGAAGCAAAAGTGGAGGCCCCGTACAGTCTGTTTTCTCTATGAAACAGGAAAACAGGTGACGTACCTAGAATTGAGGACTGGGTGCAGGGTGCCAGGCGTCAAGGGCTGTGGGAAGGTTTGGCACAGCCGCCTTGAGGAACAGGCAAGGATGCTTTGAAGACTCGGTTCACAGTACGAAGGCCCAGCAGAGGCTGGCAACCTCGAAGCTTTGGTGGTACCAATCTGCCCCTTTGCGGATTCGTCTTCAGTGGCTTGGGGCAGAGAAGGGATGTGTGGGTGTGAGGGGCTGAAGGACAAGGAGCACAAAAACCTGGGCAGGGATTAGAAAAGGAAGCACTGAAGCCAGCAGGGAACTGTGGCCTGGGGGAGACAGGAGGGGGCAAGTGCCCGGGACCTTAATGATCTAACAGTGATAGGAACCAGCATGGAGGGGTGCCGGTGGGTAAGGACACTGTGGTGCCAGGGGTTCAGAAGTTTAGCATTTCAGAGGTGGGCATGGAGGACTAATAACATTAGGTAAGGGGCTATGTTGCTATTTAGCATACTTTTTTTTTTTAAGATTTTATTTTATTTATTTGAGAGAGGCAGCGTGCACAAGCAGGGGGAAGGGCAGAGGGAGAGGAAGAAGCAGGCTCCCAGCTGAGCTGGAAGCCTGATGTGGGGCTCAATCCCAGGACCCGGGGGATCATGACCTGAGCTGAAGGCAGATGCTTAATGACTGAGCCACCCAGGCGCCCCTATTTAGCATACTTTCTATGTAAAAGTAATAGCAATGCTAGCTCATACCTACTGACCCCTACCATGTGCCTGACACGGCTGATTGCTTTACATGCATATCTCATTTAATTCTCACAGCAGCCACAGGACGCGAGTACTGTGAGTAAGGAAACTGAGGCTCAGGAGGGTTAGGTAAGTGCCCAGGGTCCCATGGTGCATACATGAAGCGGCCAGAGCTAAACTCTGACTCCAGAGGTTTTGCTTTCCGGACTGTTAGACTACACTGCCTCTCCCACATGCAAGATGGTGTTGTTGTTGTTGCTGTTTCTTTAAGTAATTGCTACACCCAACCTGGGGCTCGAACTCACGACCCCGAGATAAAAAGTTCCAGATCGGAACTTAGTTGAAAAAAAAAAAAAAAAAAAAAAAATTCCACTTCCCTAGAATGCTGTGCTAGTCTCAAGCAGACATTTCAGAAACAAACCAAAGTATATGCGAGGCTTTGCGTGACCCTGACGCCATTCCTCAAAGCCAGCTCTGAGGGGCTGTCCCCCTCCCCCTGGGCAACAGGTGTCAGTTTTATATAGAGATGATCTACTGAAAAGTGCTTTCATCTGATCCCAAAACTGGTTTCTACCGAAGGACAAAAATGTTCCTTTCAGAGATGGAGCGTGTTATGTGATAGTTACGTGAGTCATGATGAAGTCCGTGAAGTGGCCGAAGTTGTGGGTGGCCAAAGAGGCGTAAAAGTAAGGGTCATTGAGGTTGAGGTCCAGAAACTGGGTGTGGGATGGGTTGTCTTATAGATGCCAGTTCCTTAAGACGATGGTGGCTCTGGAAGAGGGGGAACCTCCAGGCGGCGAGGTCTCAGATGAACAGAGAAGACTTTCAGGAGGTCAAGAGATGAGAGCAGCAACAAGGAGTGTGGTCAGGGATGGGAGCCCCAGCCGGGAACTTGGGGCATGACAGGGAAGTAATTGGGGTCTGGGGACAGTAAGAGGGAGCTAGAAGAAGGCTGCCATCACTCTGCTCATCACCCTGGGACATCTGGGATGTGGGGAAATGAGAAGCCCACGCGTGACAGCTTCATGGAAGGGCCATTCAGCTAAGACAAGGAGACCAGGGGAGGGACTTAACCTTAACCTTAAAAAAGGTTAAGGGCACAGGAGAATGTTTATCATGTCCAGAGGGCACAGGTGGGGAAGCGATGGTCCTAAATGGTTGCTTCCTTCCAGGCAAGATAAGCCCTCAATAGGGTGACACCCCCGTTGTCCTGACTTGGCTGTGCATTACTCTTCATTCTGAGCCCATTGAGCAAGGGCCCTGTGGCGGCCGTTCTTGGCGGGCATCTCTGCTGGGAGCATAGCAGCCAGCGCCCAGGCTTGAGACCTGGGCTTCCCCGACTAGAACATTTCTTTCCTGGTGATGCAATCACCACATCCCCGTCTTCTGTATTTCCTGCCAGGCTCAGAGTCCACACCTTCCCCACCGTGGAGGAGTAGATGTGCGTTTCTCAGGAGCGGCTGACTGCTTCCGGCAGATAGTCAAAGCCCAGGGGGTCCTGGCGCTCTGGAATGGACTGACGGCCAACTTGCTAAAGGTGAGAGGGGCCATCAGTCCCTTGCTTCCCTGCCTCTTCCACTTCTAGCCCTTTCCCCTGCCGCTCCCCTGAAGGCTGCCTGGGGACACCCCCCACCCCCCTCGCCGTCTAGCACTGACAGTCGCACAAGACCCATGAGCACAGGCTGGCGGCCACCCCTGAGAGAGAGGGACCCCTGTGCAGTGGTGGGGCACCAGACACCCCATCCCAGAGGAGCTGAGTTTTAGTGTAGCGGCTCCTGACATGGGGGTTCGTGGACCTCTAAGGGGAACATAATCTCCCAGCCTAACATTGTATGCAAAAAACATGTAGGTATGGGCATGTGTGCCTCTCTCTGGGAGAGGATCCATTGTTTTCATCATATTCCCAAGGAATTTCATGCCCCTCCCCAAAAAAGGTTAAGAACCCTGGGCTAATCTTGCACAAATGTCAGCTGATCTACGGCATATTAATCTGGGCCATGCTTCCGCAGTGCATTCCCTTTAACCACTACTGTTCCTCTTCCCTGACCCAAACCGTGCCAGCCTTCATTCTGCCGTCTTCCCCGATTCCAAAAAGAATGATGTTGTGTTGTTCCCAGCCTTTACCTCAGTTTACCCCAGTGCAGGTTGACTGCAGATACACTGACCTGATTTAAGATTTTTACATGATCTTCATTTCTTTTTAAACAGATAGTTCCGTATTTTGGAGTTATGTTTGGCACCTTTGAGTTCTGCAAGAGGATCTGCCTTTACCAAAATGGTTACATTGTGTCTCCTCTGAGTTATAAATTAACCCCTGGGGTAGATCAGAGTTTGAAGCCCCAGGAATTGCGGGAATTTAAAAAGTTCTTCAAAACCGGACAGCTGAAGTCTAAAAAACCAACTCTCTAAAACTGACCGGAACAAGAAGTGCACTGACCGAAGGCGTGTTACAATCATAAAAACCTCGTAACTTAAATCTGCGCAGAGTGACCAGAGGAAACTCCCGTCTGCCACTCTTGGAAATGGGAAGATTTCGCCACATACCAGCTCCAAGCTCCAAACTCACGTCCTGGTGACCACCTGTGCCATGGGAAAGCTTCCCAGCACGACCGTTGCATGGTGGCACTCCACCAGATAGCTCCACAAAACCCAGCATTAACAAAACGTGCGATTTACACTCTATAAACAGGCAACTTACACAACACCAAAGAAAGGCAATGGCCATGACCTCCAAGTGAAACGTCGTTGAAGCGACTGAGCATATAGCACATCAGGAGCTCTGGCCTCGCGCTGCTCCATTCCACCCAAGTCTTCCCAGCACACTTGTTCTGAAACTCCTAATGTTTGCTGACTTCTGAGTGTGCACGCTATAGTGTAAATTATGCCTTATTGGAAACTAAATTAAAGGGGCACCTGGGTGGTGCGGTCAGTTAAGCGGCAGCCCTCAGCTCAGGTCATGATCTCAGGGTCCTGGGATCGAGCCCCACGTAGGAGCAGGGAGCCTGCTTCTCCCTCTCCCTCTGTGTGTGCTCTCCCTCTCTCAAATAAATAAATAAATCTTTTTTTAAAAAGAAACTAAATTAAAACCTTTAACATTTAAAAGTCCACTTTCTCGTGGTGGAACCATCCTTTCTTTAAATCTGAAGATGCTGTAAATTTGAGATGCTTTAAACCTGAAGCATCTCAAGCTTACAAATTGCAGGAATCTTTTTTCAAGGCAGTTGTTACTGTGACCACTTAATTAATGACCCCAAAAGACCTCCTTCCAATTGAAGTCATGTACAGTTGACGTGGCCTGAATTCTCTGCCTTTCTAACTTGCTTTGCAAGCCTACCCTGAAAATAAATTATTTAGTCAACTTAAGTTATTCTCACAAGATGTCCCAGTTGCCTAGAAAAGGATCAAATAGAACATCTGACACTCATATCCAAAAGAGAAATGGAACTGAACAAAAACACTTCAGGCTAATCATCTCTACTCTTTTGAAAAATCGAATTTTGGATTGTTCCACCTTGAGAACTCCATGTCAAATTTACACAACCTCACTTTCAAATAGTGCCTACCTATGCATTAAAACACAGTAATAGTAAATCGTTAATTTACACACACACACAGGTTTTCAGGATGCTCCACGTACTTTTCCCTGTTAAATTTGTTTTCCAAAGAAAAAGGTTGTTTGGTCATTTGTTACTAAGGTGAGTTCTAGCAAAGGAATAGCAGTTAATACACACAGGAAGGTCTCATCTGTAGCCCAAGCTGTTACAGTGGGGAGGGCGGCAAATTCTTTACCCACCACTAATAGTCCTGTTTATGAACTCTTCATCTTCCTTGAGGTGAACAATTTTTTTTAAAGTTCTGAAATCTGTGTGTGTATATATATATATATATATATATATTTTTTTTTTTTTTAACTAGATCTAAAATCCTAGCCTCAGGTTACTTACATCATGTTAATATCTCTGTATTCTTCTGCCCGTATTATGAGATGGCTAGCCACACTCTTGCTACTGTGACACACAGGAATGTTTTCTGAGCTGTAGTTTTGGCTTTTTCAATAAAGTTAAGTGAGGAAAAGGAATGCCTCATTTTTCTTTTTTTTTCTTTTTTTTTAAAGGTTTTATTTATTTATTTGACAGACAGAGATCACAGGTAGGCAGAGAGGCAGGCAGAGAGAGAGAGAAAGGGAAGCAGGCTCCCTGCTGAGCAGAGAGCCCGATGCAGGGCTCGATCCCAAGACCCTGGGATCATGACCTGAGCCAAAGGCAGAGGCTTTAACCCACTGAGCCATCCAGGCACCCCTCAATTTTCTAATTTTAGGACCGCTCCTAAAACTCTGGGGTTGTTGGGGGGGTAGGGGGCTCCTGGCTGGCTCAGTTGGAAAAGTGTACAACTCTTAATCTCAGGGTCATGAGTTTGAGGCCCATGTTGGGAGTAGAGATGACATAAATAAATAAATAAATAAATAAATAAATAAATAAATAATTCACTTTAAAAAAACCTCTAGTTTTGTTCCAAAAATAAACTTCCAGCTTTTTTTCATTTTCTCAGGGGGTGTGAAGGGAGTCTTCTGCTTTTCTGCTTTTGTGGCTGACAGTGTACACCAAGCTGGACTAAGTACTTGAGGAGGAGGATTAAGAAGTATGATGCAGGGACGCCTGGGTGGCTAAGTGGTAAAGCCTCTGCCTTCGGCTCAGGTCATGATCCCGGGGTCCTGGGATCGAGCCCCACATCGGGCTCTCTCTCTGCTCGGGAGGGAGCCTGCTTCCCTTCCTCTCTCTCTGCCTGCCTCTCTGCCTACTTGTGATTTCTGTCTGTCAAATAAATAAATAAAATCTTTAAAAAAAAAAAAAAAGAAGTGTGATGCAACATTACCCAGAAGAAGCACAGTCTTAATGACAGAACATCCCTACATATAAGAAATGAGTCTGATTACAAAGCAAATACAAGCAAAGACATGATAATGCGGTAGTAACTGTCTATAACACTTTAACAAGGGGCTCCCTACTGAATCAGTGATTAAAGGGATCATCAAAGGGGTGCCTGGATGGCTCAGTCGGTTGAGCGTCCAACTCTTGATCTCAGCTCAGGTCTTGATCTCAGGGTCGTGGGTTCAAGCCCCACTCTGGGATCCACAATGGGTGTGGAGCCTACTTGAAAAATAAAGAAAAAAAAAAAGAAAGGAATCATCATAGGCGAGAAGAGCTAGTGATGAGTCTTGAGCTAAGTTTTGAAAGAAAAGAAGGTATATTAGTTCCTTGCCCTCGTAGAGCTTATATTCTAGAAGGATGACAGTTAATAAGGTAACCTGCAAGTCAGGTAATTATAGATTGTAATGTTATGAGAGAAACAAACAGGGCAGTTTATCAGAGGATTATGTGGGAGTGAGGGAAATATTTTAAGTCAGGGAGTCAGGGAAAGCTGCTCTGAGAGGTGACACTGAAGATGAGACCTGAAAGATGACAATGAGCCAACTGTGCAAAGAGCTGGGGAGAAGAGCATTCCAGCAGAGGGAACAGACAGTGCAAAAGGGCTACGGGTAGTGGGAAAAGACTGGTAGTGTGGCGCGTGAGGGAGAGTGTGTGTGAGATGAGGCTGGACAGAGGGCCAGATCATATGTGGCTGTCGAGACCATAATAAGAAGTTAGATTTTTGGGGCACCTGGGTGACTCAGTGGGTTAAGCATCTGCCTTTGGCTCAGGTCATGATCCCGGGGTCCTGGGATAGAGCTCTGTATTGGACTCTCTGCTCAGTGGGGAGACTGCTTCTCCTTCTCCCACTGCCCCTCTCCCCACCACTCATGCTCCCTCTCATTATCTCTTACGCTCTCTCTCTCTCTCTCAAATAAATAAATAAATAAAATCTTTTTTTTTTTTTTTTCAAAAAAAGTTAGACCTTATTCTAAATGCAGTCAGGAGACATTGAAGGTTTTTACGTACAAAAGCAATATAATCTGATTTTCACTTTAAAAATATCCCTCTGGTTGCTGTGTGGATAATAGATCAGAAGGAAGAAAGGCTGTGAATGGGAAGACCAGGTAGAAGAGACTTACAAAGTCCAAGTAAGAAATGATGCCTTCGGGGTCCCTGGGTGGCTCAGTCGGTTAAGCATCTGCCTTTGGCTCAGGTCACGATCTCAGGGTCCTGAGATCAATTCCTGCATCAGGCTCCCTGCTCAGGGAGGAGCCTGCTTCTCTCTCTGCCTCTGCCCCTCCCCACAATTTGTATTCTCACTTGCTCTGCTCTCCCTCTCTCTCTCAAATAAATAATCTTAAGGGGAAAAAAAAAACTGGATGTGAGCAAGACTGTTCCAGAAGCTGAAGTAGTAACAAGAGACTAGATACAAGATGATTGGCCAACAAACGATAAGCATTGTTTTCTCCTCAGTGACCTCGCAGCAAACACCAGTCTTCCATACCACAAATGCGAGCTAGGTCACAAAACCAACAGTGCTTTTTCTGGGTACCTCTTAGACACTCAAATCCTGCTTAAATGGTCTCTGGTCTGGTTACCAGATTATAGGTAGGGTCCTCGCCTGGGACTGAGAACTGGCTTACTGCCCTACTTAAGCAAGGTTGGCGTGATTTGTCCATTAAAACTCAGAGTAGGTCAGGCGCCTGGGTGGCTCAGTGGGTTAAAGCCTTTGCCTTCGGCTCAGGTCATGATCCCAGGGTCCTGGGATCGGGGCCACATCGGGCTCTCTGCTCAGCGGGGAGCCTGCTTCCTCCTCTCTCTCTGCCTGCCTCTCTGCCTACTTGTGGTCTGTCAAATAAATAAATAAAAATCTTTAAAAAAAACTCAGAGTAGGTCAACCTAAGTTAGTATTTTTCTTCATACTATTTTAACCTTTTATTATTATTTTTTTTTAAAGTGAGCTCTATGCCCATTGTGGGGCTTGAACTCCCAAACCAGAGATCAAGAATCACATGCTCTTCAGACTGAGTCAGCCAGGCACCTCAGTGTTTATTTAGTATTAATAAAAATCTAACGTGTACGGAACACTCACTATGTACCAGACCATTTATGCATACATTATCTCATTTAATTGTCCCTAAAAGGCAGACAGGGACAAGGGGCCCTGCCCCAAAAGGAAACCACCCTTCCAAGGATTATACACCACCCTGGAAGGAGCCTGCCACCCTTTCCCACATGATAGGCAGGTGACAAAAACCTGATTGGGTGACAGGTGCATGAGAGTTAATCAGATTAAAACAGCCCATCTGCAAGCCCCCCCACTCCCCCCACCCCCAGCAAAAAAAACCCAGACTTAGAAACTCCGGTGGCAATCCTCTCGGGTCCCCTTCCTCTTCGGGAGCTTTGTACTCTATCACTCAATAAACTTGGCTTTGCTGCCCACCACTCTTCATCTGGTCTACCTCTTCATTCTTCCAAGCGGCGTGAGCAAGAACTGCAGGCACCAAAGGAAACGAAATCCTGGAACACTTGGAATCATAGGTGCTATTATCACTCCATTTTACACTGGAAGAAATGACGTTTGGAGGGTTTAAGCAACTTACCCAAGGCCTGACAGCAAGTGGTAGAGCCAGGATTTGAATTCCCGCAGTGTGTCTCCAGAGCCCACCCTCTTGACCACTGGGCTAAATTACCTCTCTCTTCCTATTTGGCCCCAGATTCCCAAATTCAGATGCTCAAAGCCATTCAAATTTATAGAGATACAAAGAATACATAAGAGGCACAGATTGCTTCATAAGAATAAGAATAAGATACACAGAATCTTAGAATCGGAAGGGTGCAGAACTCTTCCCAGTCAACGCAATGATCTCCTCTACAGTGTCCCTAACGAGTGGTCCTTCTGCCTCAACTCTTAACATCTCCAGCAATGAGAAGTTCCCCCACATCATAAAGCAACCCATTCCACCTTTAAGTAGCCCATATTTTAGAAAGTAATTTCTTGTTCAGCTGAAGTCTACCTTCATG